CCATAATATTGTTGACGCCCAGATACATGTGGTAGGCTCCATCGTGTTCTTCTGGTATGGCCAATGTCGGCGCCTACCATACTGTAGGGCAAATGTCGGCGTCCATAACACTATTCGTGTTCTGACACGTCTGGAAGGTTACGGAGCACCCTTCTGACATGACCTGGCAGTATTGTCCTGCAGGTGTGTAGGATACGTTCCTCGGTATTGCGGTTTGACTTCAACGCCCTGCCTTACTTGCTCCGCCTGATTCTTTAGGTCCTGACCGAGCGGGTGTCCCCGTTCGGTTGTTTTCCAGTTGGCTCCGACCGTGCTGGTCGAAGAAGAGCTGTAAACAGAGGTTCGGTGTACTCCCGGTCGGAGAAGCGAGTCGGAGTCGGAAACAAGCGTCGTCCCTCCTTGGCTAGGCCTTCCGGTCGGAGAGGCGGACCGGAGTCAGAGGCGAGCGTCGTCTCTCCTTGGCCAGGCCTTCCGGTCAGAGAGGTGGGTCAGAGTCGGAGGCGAGCGTCGTCCTCTCCTTGGCCAGGCCTTTCGGTCGGAGAGGCGGGTCGGAGTCGGAAGCGAGCGTCGTTCCTCCTTGGCCAGGCCTTCCGGTCAGAGACTAGATCGCCCTTTCGGCCTGTCGTTAGGTATCTGGGCCGGTCCAGGAGTTGCGCGTTGTTCGCAACGTCGTCTGCTGGGCCAAGCTTTTGCTGGAAAGCAGGTCCATTAGGGACCCCGGGTTTATGAACCCAACACATAGTTTACATGTCGCCTTCATAAAATCAGTGCCCAAAATCCATGTCTGAATTTGTAGATTAGCACCCTGTTCGCTTGGGTTTGTTTGGCTTATAAGCCGTATTTTTTCAGCCAATGAACATTATTTTTTTCTCACACCAAATCAGCCAACAGTAATTTCAGCCATGGCTTATTAGCCAAACAAGCCCAAGCGAACAAGGCGTAGATATACTTCATTGTCTTTCTTGACAGAGAAATATGCCAAACTCTTTTGAGCCAGTATCTCTCTTGTCGGTTACTCCTCATTTTTATTTGTTGGATGTGTTTCGCATGGGGGTTCCAAATGTCCAACTGTCTCTACTCCTAATACCTTGTCATTTGATGAAGAACCATTTGTGTGATTTTAACTGTGTATTAATTACGCTACTATTACACGCCAAAATCTTAGAGTAGAAATCATTGTGCGTGTTGGTGCACCAGCCTCGAGTTGGGATATGAACTTACACCTGTGGTCACATGTCCTCTTATAAAATCAGTGCCAAACTCCTTTGAGTCATGTATGTGCCATATTAGCAAAGCCATCCTTAAAATCACTCTGAACTTTTTTTTTTGGGGGGGTAATTTGGCCAGTTTTGAAAGCTAAGGTGTGTATGTTGTTTAGTACTCGAGTTCTGGGGGTTTTCAGATTGAGCGACAAGTTTAGGGAGATAGAAGAGGCGAAAACAACGAAAATACTGTAGCAAAATAGACAGAAATGGATTTAATTTCGTGCATAGCTGCCTAAGGACCTTGAAGGTGAAAGCACGGACATGCCAATAAAAGTACAATGAGTAGGCGCTAGCGCATAGTAAATAACGTGGACTAATCTAGTATTTAACTTGAATGGATTAGCACAAACAAAGTGTGAGGTGATTACCACACATAGTGAGTTAGTAGTGACCCACGTGTAAGGAAAATTGGAACTGAAAGGTAAGAACAAATTGTGCTGTATTATTACCTATACAGGTGTTAACATCAGAGGAGTTATACTATGCTTTATGCCAGCACGGAGTCGATCGATAGTCAACTTTAAAAAAACATGGCCAACTCAAGGGAGGCAATGGTTTTCTAGAGGAGACAAGGCTAGGTGACAAGCAGCAGCCTAACTAATGGTTGCCCTTCCACATCACACTTCCCTTTTTACCACTAGCAACACTCAATAATCCAAGTCTAGAGATTTAGGCCCTTTTTGTTAGAGGAAAATGAGAGGAGTGGAAGTGTTTTTTACTGGAAAACAAAATGGCCTTTTTGCTGGGTTGGGAGAGACAACCACATCAGCTGTGGTCCTTGACTGCATGCGAACAAAGCACTTCTGCACTTGGGTTAAACTAATGGCATATCTCCCATGGTTCAGCGATTAATTGGAGTGTGCTTACGTTTGTAACAATAGCTTGCTTGACTACTTCTTACTTGGCTGCAAAGCAATTCAGTATGGAGCTCCACTTAAGTTACCCCCTCTTAGTTCGATAGCAGTTCGCTGCGATAACGAAGAGAAGTGTTTTTCAGTTTTAATTATTTAGTTTTTCATACAATAGCTATCACCCATCAATATAATGTGGGCATTATAAATAAATAATGTATCTGACAGGTATATGATCTTTGCTAATTAACTTCCAAAGAAACTACACGGTTTCTTGGCAGAAGGAATCCTGACGTCGTCCTAGCCAAAATGGTACTGCTTGCTCTCCAGTAATTAGTAATTGGTTAATGAGCGAGGTTGCATCATTGACACTCTGACCAGTCTTTCACGTTGCGTTCACATGCAAGTGACACTTGATCATATACATACTAAAAGCAACAACGTCAATCGACACACGTATGATCTTAGTCAGGCCACATATGTATACGTGCCTTTAATAATTTAAGTATACATATACCTGCAGCGTCCTGTATGTAGTACCAAGTTTCGGAGTCAACCAAAGTATATACATAAGTAAGTGATTTGTGCAATGGATCAACACACAGAGCATTCAATTAAAGGATAGAGGACACAACAATCAGATTTAGTTTTCTAGGAGAGACTCATGCGTATGGTGCGTGACCATGCCTTGACACTGTTTAAAGCAGACCGCTAGGCTTCTAAAAATGGAGCGAGAGGTTTTGTCTCCTCCGGAAAGCATTTGTGTTGGTTGTTGCCAGCAGTGTGTGCTCGATGATCGCAGTGTCATGCATAGGCATAGCACACAGAACAATCAGTGGTGCAGCACTGTTGTGAGTTCTTGTGACACAAGCTAGCCAGCAGCAGTGCAAAGGCGAGCTTGGACACTCGTGCGTGTGTCTTGCTGTGTCCCCTACGATCAACCTACGACTACGATATGATCTGCACCAAACCCTGCAATCTAATCCTGCTCCATCTTTCCACACCCGGGCCTCGTTTAGATTGCAAATTTTTGCAATCTGGACACTGTAGCACGTTTCGTTTGTATTTGACAAACTTTGTCCGATCATGGACTAACTAGACTCAAAAGATTCGTCTCATGATTTACAACCAAACTGTGCAATTAGTTACTTTTTTTATCTACATTTAATACTCCATGTATACGTCCAAAAATTGATGTGATGAAAAGAGAGTGAAAAAACTTAAAACTTTAAAGCAATCTAAACAAGGCCCCGACAGCATATGCCTCATCTCCAAGGAAAAGGTTTCGTGCAAATCCAGCTCTGGGTTGATTGCTCTATCTGCAAACGACCCAGCCAAATTGCTGTTGCTATCATAGTGCAGTTTGCATATATGATCGACGATGCTTCTGGTCTATCTAGTAGCAGTTTTTTTTAGGGAGGGAAATAGCTAGTAGCATTGAGCGGCTGAATCCATAATAAATTTGTTTGATTCACTTAGATGCATGTAATCAGATCCCGTGTAATTAAATCAGGTCCGAGGCCATGCAAATCCAGCGCTAATCATTACCACAGCTCGACAGGCGGTCGGCGTATGGCCCCGCTCGGCGTACCTTATAATCCACACTATTCAGTATTTCTCTTTCACAACAATTCAGCCAGAACAGTGTTTTTCAGCCAATTCAACTAAGTTTCAGCAAGGCGAACGGGGCCATGCGTATCTGACACGAGAGCTAGCGTCGAACCAAACAATTAAAGATATATGGAGGACTGATTATCTTGTAATCTCATTGCCCTGTATCTCATACCATTTACGTTTGCAGTGTTGGTTCTGAACTCAACAACACGTAAGTTGAAGTAGTTAACGCAGCAGTTATTAGCTAGAGACTAAGTATCTTATTATGGTAGATTTTGAGTATGCTATTAACCGCTATAAGTTAGGGCCCATTTGAATCCCTATAGGTAATAGCTACTAATAGTTATCTCGATCTTTGATCAAAACAGGTGCAGCTAATAAAATAGCTAATTATTAGTTGGACCGGTAGATATTAACTATCTCACTAGTTGGACCATATTAGATAATAGCAGCTAATAGTTATTCTAGTAGCATTTTTCATTAGTTGTGCATACAAACACCCTTTAGCTTATAGGTATTAGCTAATATAGTTAGCTAGCTAATATTAGATATGAGCTATTAGCCAGCTAACTATTAGCAGATAATGAATCCAAACATGGCCTTAGCAAACATGATATAAAAAAGAGTACATGTGTATATGCATACATATACCATTATATCATCTAAAAAACAATATATACATGCATATACGGAAGAACAAAGTAACATACTCTTTCTTGTGCAGTGTACACGCACACACCGCCTCTCAATCTATGGGGGTACGTAATTTACAATAGAAAGCATATATGCCTTCTTACACATGCAGATGCAGTGATCTCTTAATAGTAATAAGTAGTAATAATCTACATTAAATATGAAGGGGGATATAGCTAGATGTATATAGTTCACACATGGTGCATGGTGCTCCTGGTGCACACATACTGACATACATATTACAGGGCATGGACAGTGATCCGGCCTACGTGAACGTAAATTGATATCTAGTGTTGTTCCATCTTGTCTTGGCCCTCTCTCGATCGGTCGATCGATGCTGGTGCCGGGGCTGCGGCCTCTCCATCGAACGTAGGCTTCTTATATATGTACACATGGCCTTGCACGGGCACGAGCATCGATCGTCGATCGGCTGATGAAGCATCCACGGGCGTGGGTGTCGATCTGCTAGGCGCCGGCCGGCACACGGGGCGGCGCGGGTCTAGACGCGGATGAGAGGTGCCGGCGGCGGGGGGGGGGCGTGGAGGCGACGCTGCAGCAGCAGCTGGCGCTGCTCGGATTACTGCCGCTGCAGGCGCAGGTGCTCGCGCTGCCGCCGGATGAAGCTCTCCGCGCGCTGGAGCAGCTCATCCGGCGAGATGCTGACCAGCACGTCCCGGGTGCGCCACCCCGTCTGCCTGACCGCCGCCGACGGTTCCGGCGGTGGCTGCGTCGTCGGGGCAGCCGCCGCCGCCGCCTTGGCGACCGCCGAGACGGACTTGCGCACCTGCCTCCGCGCCGCGGCCGTCTCGGCGATGCGCTGCAGCCGGGGCATCTCCTCGTTGCCCCACGACTCGCTCTTCCGCACCACCACCGGACGCGCCGCGCGCCGCTGCACGATCGACGCCCACAGCGAGTCTATCGAGACGTCTTCGTCGTCGTCGACGGATACAGCAGGCGCCGTCTCCTCCAGGGCCTGGCCATGTCTCTCGTCGTGGGCCGGCTCATCACGTGCATCAGCCACGACGGTCCACGGCGGGGTCGTCGGCGCGTCCTGGACGGCCGGTTTCTTGCGCACGCGGGGGCGGTCGCTTCTCCTGGCCGCAGCTCTCGCCTCCCGGGTCAGCCTCTTGGACGACACCGGCGCGTCGTCCGCACGGCGGCCGCCGATGGGCGCCGCGTCGGAGAAAGCATCGTACTCCGACGAAGACGCGTAGAAGCTGTTTTCTACGGCGCCCGGTACAACCTCGCCGTCGTGCGCGGCCGAGGACGGGGCGGCGGTGTCGTCGTTGGCCGCCCTGCCACGGCGGCGGGAGGAGGAGACGAGCCAGACGATGATGACGTTGGCTGCCACCCACAGGAAGATGGGCGACAAGAGGAAGCCGGGGCTGGCAGGCGTCGGGATGTAGTAGGAGCCGGCTGCTTCCGCCGTGGCCGCTAGGATGGCGACAGCTGCCATGGTAGCAACCGCCGTGGCCTTGAGGAAGGAGCTCATCATCATGGCAAATGGAGGGAGTGGTTGTGCAGCTTGGTGTGGTGGTGTGTGTGAAGGGCAAGCAACCACGGTCGAGCGGTTTATATAGTGCCGGGCCGCCGGGGGCTGGACGGCTGGAGTGAGAAATCGGCTTCTGGTTGCAGTCGCTTAGAGCCCTTTGGTAGGATTCTCAACCAGCTCCTCGAGCTGTTATTTTTTAGCTCTCACAGCCAAACGGGTATAGAGGCAGGTGCTCCGACGAAGGAGCCCCGCATATTGCGCTCTCTGGTGCGAGATCGGTCGATGGGAGCCAAAAATCGAGCTTCATCTGGCTCCGTGCTCAGATCATGGGGCCCTGGGCGAATTTGCCCCCGGCGTGGGCGCCGACGCTCATGGCGAAGACGGGCGTGGCCAGGACCGGACGGCGGCGTGGCGCGTGGAGGACCGGACAACCGGAGTCTGCGGCGTGGCGCTGTGGGCGGATGAGCGCGGGCAGGTGCGGGACAGAGGGCGCGCAGAGGAGGAGCTAGCATGGGGGAGGGCGGCGCGGCGCTGGTGGCCCATGTCTGGGCGTACTCCCATGCGCCGGCTGCGGCGGGATGAGCGTGCGGTCTCCAGTCGCTCGGTCACTCCAGAGGTTGAAGACGCGTGCGTACTCGCGTTGGGAAAAGAAAAAAAAAGAAAAGAGAAAAGAGAAGAAGGGATATTATGGACTTTTTACTCCTTTTGCCTTCCGGAGAAGCTGTTTTGCTAAACGGTAAAAAAAACGGCTTCAGCTCTCTAAGAGAATCTGCTCCTTTATAAGAGTTGGAACCGGTCGCTTTGTTGGGGGCCATGGAGACCTGGACTGCGCGACGGTCACGAGTGATTACTGATTATGATTAGTAGTAGTTCGTCTCAAAAAAAAAAGATCAGTAGTAGTTGGTAAAGTGCATTTTCTAACCTTGCACCGCAGTCTGATTTTAAATCATAAACGATGAAATTGGGTACCAAATATACTTCGACTATTCAAATCTGTCAAAAAATTGTTTTTAACGGATTTTAAAGCTAGTTTTCTATTTTCTAAAAATAACAAAATTCTATTTTAATATTTAAAATATAAGTAATTTGTTTTAAATTAGAAAATTACGAAACTAGTATTATTTTAAAAAAAATATTATCTACCTACTTAAAGTTATCTATTTAGAACTCTAATAAGTAGGAACTAAGATAAATAAGTTCCAAATAATTACAAACAGGCCATAGGAGGGTGTTTGATATCCGGTTTCATAGTTCAGAATTAAAAATCGGACTGCCGTGTAAGCTGGAAACGTATGTAAAGGAGTTTTTACTCTTAGTTACTGCGCACCAGATAAAGGTGAGGCTACGAGAGCTAGCTCATGTAGACATTTCCATTCCCTGAAATTAAAAACGAGATCACAAGATCAGGCAACAGTCGTCGTTACTCGGAGGACATGAACATGACACGTACGAGTGGAAAGAGATAGGTAGCCACGAAGGATTTTAGTGGCACACCCATACACACACCACTCACACACTCAACACGAGCACGCAAGCAACTTGGAGAAATTCATAAATATGAAATGGTAATTCAATTTCAACCGGCCGGGTTTCCGCTGATGAAATTGTGAAAGGCCTCTCTGGTGAGGGTCGAGGTAAAGTGAGACAGGCCCTATCAATGCGAGAAGCGCTAGCCAGTAGCCCTACTCAAACGCCAACCCCATCCATTCCGACAGCTAGCTAAGCCAGCATCATCAAGCCATAATTAATATGCTAGCGTGATGCTGTTGCCCGGCCCGTGAAATTTCTCAGGGGACACCACCATCTGCAAGTGATAGCTACACGTACGCGCACCTAGCTACACTACACTGTGTATTCTGCTGAGAAAAACTCAATGATAGCTACGTACGTACTAGGTCGTCGTCGTCGCTCGCTGCATTTATTTATAAGTACTGTAATTTCTAAGCAGCGAGCTAGGTGGCGTACGTTAATTATAGGAGAGAAGAAACAGTCCAAACTTATCTCGTCGATGGAAAAGTATAGTGGAAAAAGCACACAGATCACATATATAATGGGCCGTTCGGCTGCTCTGAAACTTGGCTTGTTCGAGTTTTTTTTTTCGGTCGGAACAGTGTTTCTCTTTTACAATATTTCAGCCAGAATAGTGTTTTTCAGCCAATTTCAGCCAAGTTTCAGACCAACGAAGGGCCCCAATATAATTAGTGGTGACCAAGTGTCCACGCGCATTATCTTTGAAAAAAATGTGCACGCTACTAACACCGCTAGAAACACAACATTTGTCAACAGTTTGTTGTAAAACATGCAGACTCTATCCTAGAAGAAAAGGAGAAGGATGAATCATAATCGTAGTTCGTTTGTATATGGACTCTTACCAAACTCTTAGGTCTTAGCAGAACTTTATATATGTGGGAGCTATATGTTGTAATTACCAATATTCAGAGGAATAAAGAATAGTTTTCCTATTTTGTGTCTATTTGTTCTTCTACTTTTATTTACTATATTGATCATGAGCGACGGAGAGAGAAATATCCTAACCGCTAGCAATATGTTTTATAGCACAGTTAAGTATAATGGCCAACGGGCAGTCGGTGAGATTGTGAGTTCCAAGCTGCCCTGTCCATCTTTGTATCAATGGCCAACCGTGCAGAGTATTCCCGAATCCCGAGGGTTAGAAAGCTAACCAGTCGGACACTAGACTAGATGGCTGACAGGGAAAACTAATTCCCGACAGTCCTAGCGAGACACGTGGCAAATGGTTATAATAGCCAGCAGTTATACGATTCTCAATCGTGGTACTAGGACACTCGGCTATTTCGGTGATGAGCCATTGCCAATTTTTGTTGGTTGATTATTGTTGGTCCTTGTATCAAATGCCCGATAGTGTAAGATAATGGCCGACAGTATAAAAACCATTGGCTATTCTTACGATTCTAGTAGTAAGTCAAGAGTATATATATATGACCGCACTATGCAAAACCTACCGTGACTGCAAAACCATTGGCAACGCATGAATGGAGCCAAGAAGACCAGAAAAGTCGCCGTCTTGGCGCCTTCGGCCGTCCCGTGCATGCTCTCCGGCCGCCTTGCCTGCTTATCCAGATGATGCAGAGTTTGGGGACCTGACCTATACGAACGCACCCTGCCCCCTACCTCTGTCTCTGTCTGTCTGTCTATCTATCTATCTATCAGTCTAGGATATAAAACGCACGCGCACCGCCGGGCGCCGGCACCGTCGGCGTCTCGGCGAGAAAGCAAAGCGATCGAGCGAGGAAAAGCGCATGAATCGGCGGCAGAAATATTCCTGGGCGACGGGACGGGCCAACCGATCACGCACGGCGTCCACGCCGCCGAAGCCGATTGGCGGGGCGAGCTCCGCGGCACATGGGCTCGACCTGCCCCCGCCCCGCATTCTGTAATCCACCCATGAAATCTTTCTAGTTTTCGCAGTGCGTCAACACTCAGCAGAGCAATACCCATCTGATTTTTTTTTTTGACATTATACCCAACCGGTTGGTAGGGCATGTCTGTTGCTGCGTTCATGCTAAACTATGCGTCTTTGGAGCTGTACCCCAAACACGACTGTTATGGCATCTGACATCTGTGTTTGGATTATTCGAGTTTGCTTACACAAGCGCATACATACAGAATGTGGCAAGGGAATCTTGACGACCTCAGATTGTTGCTTTGCTATATTGTGCATGTCCCAAAACAAAACCTATGTTATGGAACCATAGTTATGTGTACTTAGTGGGATGGGAGGCGGGACGTGTGTCTTCCAAACATTGGCACGTAGACGCTATAGGATCCCTAGATGGGACTAGTGATGAAGCTAAATTACCCCGGTATCCTCAGTGAAAGTGTCGTGCGAATACTATTCTCCACTACGTGTCACTATCAAAGCACTGTATGCAGTGGATCGAAGTGGACCAAGGTGAAATGGTCGGTGGAGTTATTAGGCGGGGGCGCTACGTTCGTTTGGCTTATAAGCCATATATTTTCAGCCAACTAATAGTATTTTTCTCTTACCATAAATTAACTAATAGTATTTTCAGCCATGGCTTATCAGCCAAGCGAACAGAGCATAGGATTATAGTGTCTTTTTTTTAGATAAAATTTGAATAATATAAGGTCTTTTATTTCAAGACGGACGGAGCATGTGCTTCTCCTTTTTTTGAGGGGATGTGCTTGTTTTTCTCGTTTGGCAGCCTTGTTGCATTTTCTCGCGTGTCAACACGAATGTGGTGAACCGGTCACCCACCTCTTATGGCTCACTTGATGATTTGACATTAATTTTCCAGTAATTGTCTCAATTCATGGGACGATGGTCGATGGCCGCAACCCCAAATAAAAGAGCACAGTGCTTTCCTCTTGTGCACAGGCCAGTAAGCCGTGTGGTGTACTTGCTTTTTTTTGGCTTTATTTATTTCACTACCAACCAATTCAAGAATAAGAGATGGTTCTTTATCCTACCAAAGTTCGCTTTCTCCGGTGTCCTGTAGTGTTGATGCACCGATTCAAGAACAAGAGATGGTTCACGGTTTGGAAAGGTGTGATCCACCAAAACGCTGTAATGGTTAGCTAAGCACCAAAAGCGGGCGACATGACACGCCCCCACGCCGGCACTGTGCTGTAGCGGTGTAGCCACAGGCCCACACCCCCTCCTCTCCCACAGAGCCGGTAGCCCGGTACGGTCGTGGTCACGGAGACCGGACGGCGGCGAGGGCGAGGGGATGCTCCGGCCGCCGCTTTTCGGCCCAGTGGATGGGTGCTGGGTGGTGGGGTTGCGCCGCGGTCTGCTGTCCCCTGGTTGCGGCCGGCCGGGGCGGGCTTTATTCCCGCAGGAGGCGGGACGTATCGCCGACTCGGCGAGTTGCTCAGGACTGCACCGCACCTTGTGATTTGTACAGGTCCCGAGTTACCTAGCCTTGATGCTACGTACGTGTGCGGTGAGCTCGAGAGTCAGGAGATCGATCACACACACATTCGGCTCACATATTCGTTACCAT